GAATATCAGCCAGCAGAGAGCCCAGGTGGCCAAGAAGGCCAACAGCATCCTGGCCTGTATCAGAAAGTGTGGCCAGCAGCACTTGGGAAGTGATCCTCCCCCTGTACTCGGCACTGGTGAGGCTGCACCTCGAATACTGTGTTCAGTTTTGGGACCCTCACTACGAAAAGGACATGGAGGTGCTGGAGCCTGTGCAAAGAAGGGCAACGAAGCTGGTGAAGGGTTTGGAGCAGAAGTCTTATGAGGAGCAGCTGAGGGAACTGGGGTTGTTTAGTCTGGAGAAAAGGAAGCTGAGGGGAGACCTTCTCACTCTACAACTACCTGGAAGGAGGTTGTAGCAAGATGGGGCTTGGTCTCTTCTCCCAAGTAACAAGTGGGCAAGAGGACGTGGCCTCAAGTTGAACCAAGGGATGTTTAGATTGGATATTAAGAAATTTTTTTTTTTTTCACCAAAACTGTTGTCAAGCATTGGAACAGGCTGCCCAGGGAAGTGTTGAGTCACCATCCCTGGAGGGATTTAAAAGATGAGTAGATGTGGTGCTTAGGGACGTGGTTTAGTGGTGGACTTGGCAGTGTTAAGGTTTATGGTTGGACTCAATGATGTTAAAAGTCTTTTCCAGCCAAAACAATTCTATGATTCTGTGATCTACTTTCAGAGAAAGGCTGATACATTTTACTTTTTGAGTACCACAAAGGAATTTTTCGCAGTGTAGCCATTCATATATCTACACATAGCCTTTACCATATAGCATAATAATACTCTGCATGGCTTTCACAGAGCATAATAATAATAAAAATACTCTGTTTACATACACTTTCATTATTTTGTAGCAGGAAAACTGAAGCAATATAAATTCATTTTTATAGTGGATGGTGTCAGTTTATACATTGTTCTTCCAGAAGTAATGTATTGTAATATACATTTCCCATTAAGTTAGTGTAGAACAAAGTTTAGGTTACTCTATTTGTGAACAACAATTTATTTGTGACTGTGACATAATTTAATGCAAATATATTGCTCTAAAATGAATTGGTCTGATGTCAGATTGATGGTTTGTACATTTATTATACACAATATTTATAAAAATCCACCATCTCACATGTATATAGAAGAAAAGATTATCAGCTATTCACTATATGAATATATAGCTTCATTAAAAGGGCTCTGGAGATGCATGTGAATCATGAAAGAAGAGCTTGTGATGTTTCCACTGTAAAACCTTGCTGAATTTCCCTTTTAATTTTTTTTGTTACTTTTATATATATATGCATTTTATATTTGAATACTTTTTAATAGGAAAAATGTTTTGGTTTGGTTTTTTGGTTTGTGGTTTTGGGGGGTTGATTTTCACTCCTTCAGGATCACTGTCTCAGAACAGGCTGGTCACTGGTTGCTGGGTGGTGAGCAACTGCACTGTGCATCACTCATTCGTATATTCTATTATTGCTATTATCTTTATTATTTTAATTTTATTTTGTTTCACTTATTAAATTGTTTTTATCTCAACCTATGAGTCTCATTACCTACACCCCTCCAATTCTCTCCCCTGTTCCCCAGGGCAGGGGAGAGTGAGCGAGTGGCTGTTTGGTGTTTAGCTGCAGGCCGAGTTAAACCATGACAAACCCTTACAGTTAAACCCACCTAAATTATTTCACTCCTTCAGATAAGTGTAAAACTTGACTTGTTGGAAGCTTAGCATAGAATAATGCATGTGAAAGTGAGTTTACTGTTGCTGTCTCTTCGAGATAGTGGAGACACACTTTACAAGGTCAGCAGATGGAAAGAAATCTTTTTAAATAGAGGGTGCAGAGGCCATCAGTCCCTGAGGTCAACTCTTCTAGGAGCTACTTAGGCTTTTTTGAATTACTCAGATTCCTGATAGAGAATCTTAAGTAACATGCTTCACCTTAAGATACAGTTGTAATAGCCTTGAGTGTTTTGATTTAGTATAGACAGTCCATAAGTCCAAGGGGAAGAACAAGAGCTCGCGCAGGAAGAAGCATAGGAGTTAAGACGGCAGCGAAGAGGCACTGTGGCGAGCAGTGGGGCTTCTGGAGATACACACACAAGCCTGTCGAAAGCCTTTTGGACTGTTTGTGAAGAGGCTTCCAAAAGCTGTTATCAGCACAAGGATGATGTTTAGCTGGCTGTTTTTTACCTGAGTCCTTGCTAAATATTGTATAAAAGGGAAGGGTCTTAACACTGCTTTGAAAAAGTGAAGTTTAAGATATTTCTTAAGTCCTTAGAGTCCTGCTGGGGGTCGTGGGGAACAGAGAGAGCAATCAATGGCTGCCTACATGGAGAGATGCAGTTTGTGTCTTCAGAATAGTGTTACCAACAGGTTACCTTGCTGTTGTTCTTTTGGTTTTGTTTTTTGTTCGTTTGGGGATTTTTTACTAATTTCATTCTTTTTAAACTTTCTGTTTGTAACTAGTACTAAACTGAGAACAAAGAGATAAAAACACAAATGAGGACATTTAGCCATTATTTTGACTAACCTAACTGATGAATCTATGGGCCTGCTCACACATACTCTGTTCTTTAAGCAAATCCTTTTGTTCCTGCTTTTGTTTTTCCTCACTTCTCTTTGCCCCTTGGGTAAAGCTGTGCAATCAAAAGATATTTTTACTGTGGTTGAACTGAAAAATTGAAGGGAAAAAATAACTTCAGACCCCTCAAAACATGTCCTTCAAACTAAAATTAACTTATACTCCTTTTTCTAGGCATTTCAAATTCTATTTGTTGCTTTATTTTAATTCCAGTTGAGCTCTCAAATAATTTAAGCTGATCCCAAGCTTCATTTTTGGTAAATTTGCAGGGGTGGGTGAGGTTTGTGGGAATTACTGTTGTCTTTTTCTAGACACTCTTTACTTTCTGACATTTTTACTGAGGTTCCCAGCAAGCTGCTTGTCACTGTGCTAGCTTCTGTTCTTGTGCCCTTCCCATGCCAGTGGGAAGAGGAGCATGAAACTAACTGGGATCACGTAGTTCCAGTCAGTTTAACATTGCTGCCACAAGCAATGAATTTTATATTGTAGGAGAAGAAAACACAGTCATGCAAGATGTGATGATCCTAGAGGCTTTTCCCACTTGGATGTTTAAGCGGAAAATGTAGGAGGCTTTATGCAACCCTCACACATAGAGCCCTGCACCCAGTTTCAGTTGAATATGAAATGTGTTCCTTAAAAGCACCACAGAAAAAATATTTTGCAAGTTTTTGAACAGTTGTGTCTCTTTTCTTTTTACCTCACATGCTTTAACATAAAATTTCATATTCTGTGTACATGCCCCAGCTTTTTCCTGTGTTGTCTCTCAAACATAGATGTGCATGCACACACACACATATGTCCACACGTCTTCCAGGGAAAATGTTGTGTGCATCAGGGTCTATTCATTCCTTGTTTGAGATGTAGAGAAGAAAAAGAGTAGAACATTCCCATGAAAGACGAAGCGTTGCCTACAGCAAGTGTCTCAATGCCATGAACAGTACACAGGGGCTGTCATGACATGTCAGTCTTCATCCACTGCCCAGTCTGTATGGGGACACTGAAGCAAAGCAGCAGCATATGATTTTAGTTAACTTCTCCTAAGTCTTCATTTGACAAATGAAGCTCTCATCCGTTTACTTGTGGGTTTTTCTGACTTCATGAATTTATTATTAATTGGCAAATTATGTTTTTTGTGTCAAGGGTGAGATCATCATTTGTAGCTTCCATGTAGACTGAGATAAATCCCACTATTGGGACAGACCACTCACTCCCGGGTGCTGCTAGCACGGTGCCTCATGCTTCCTTTGATCCAGTGGCTTTTAATTTATTTTTTTTTCTGTAAAATTTCAGTCTGCTCTGATAATTAATACCCAAGAAATGTCATGCGTGAGGCTCACTGAAAGTTACATTGAAAAAAATAGGCTGATTAAGAGGAGGAGAGAAATATATGTCAATATATTAAATAGAAGTAACCTTTTAGCTTGAAAGACTGCAGATTTGGGCAACTTTGGCTTTTTGAGGGGGAAGGGTATTTCTTTGGGTTCAGGGTTTCTTCAGGCACTCCATTATCCTCATCCCGTTCTTTCAGAATATATGTTCAGTATATATTCAGTATATGTTCAAATATAGGTGAGCTGCTGTGGTTAAAAAGGAACCGTATGTGCAGGCAAAAATATCTTGTAAGCTGAAATGGGAGATAACTAAGCGCTCCCGCCTGCTGTTGATGGGATTACCAGGTACTGTGAATCACTTGGGCAAAGAGGCCTGAGGTGACACTTCAGACTTGTTATTACACCAGGGATATTGGTTTCATTTAAAATAAGAAAGTAGAGTCATCTGAGTGTGGTTCAGTTCAAAGCTTTGAAAATGTCTCTTACTGGAAAGATTTGAAGTAAGCAGTTTTGATCCTTCAGCAGCACAAGCACGTCAGTGGCTGAAAGAAGTGGGAGCTGAGCTCTGCTGTGTTTGTCCCCTGCCCAGCCCCCTCTTTAAACCAGGAATTCTTTTAAAACAACAAGCTATAAGAAGGGGTGACTAAAAACTATTTTGTAAGCATTTCTCTCCTTTGGAAGATGCTGTGTAACAGAGGCTCTTCCTTGCCTTTGATTTTTCTTTTTAAAAGGATTTTAAAACCGTGTAGTCCTTGTCCTAAGATATGCTTATTACAGGGTTCAGTGATGTTCCCTGAAGTTGTAATCTAGCTTGAACTGTTTCCCCTGGCTATACTACGAGACAATTTGACTTTGCATGAAGTTTTGAAAACCATATGTGGGGATAATGTTTCAACTTCATGCTCTCTCTGCACTGTGAATGACAAAATACACTTTGAAGTGCTTTTTCGTACTTTCTACCGCTGCCTTTTGCAAGTGAATGAATATTAATGAAAATAGACCTGCTCTCACTTTTGGTTTTAATAGGATGTTCTGTCATCTTTTTAATTTTTCTCTCTTGAATTTCCTATTTTGAAAAATTTTGTAGTTTTTTTTGTTTTTTTTTGTTTTTTTTTGTAGTGCCAGGCCCTATACCTGCCAAGTCGGTGAAAGGAACTCCTTTTGAAGATAAAATCTTTCTCAACTGGAAGGAACCAGTGGATCCAAATGGCATCATTACTCAGTATGAGGTAATCATTAAACAGCTAACAAGCATCAGATAGGGCTAGGAAAGTGCGGCAAGAGGGGTGGCTGACGGTGGGTGTTTGTGCTCTGTATGCAGCTATTCAATTATATACTGCTTTCATTTACAGAATACTGGATTTTGTGTAGTGATTACACATTCAGAAATCATAATTATGGTGCATATGTTGTTGGCTGCCCAGCTCTGTCAAGTGGCTTTGGCATATGAGTATAACAATATTACAATCCACATGGGGGGTACTAGTCTTAAAAATCTTGTGTCATTACTATACACCGTTCCAAAGCCATGACAGCCATGATCTCTAAAACCTTCTTTGTTGGAAGAGAAGGTTACACGAAAAGTAAGATGATTATTAAGTTTGGAGCAATGTTTTTTAGCTTTGTCAAATCTTTAGATATCACCCTTCAAGGAAACCTCCATATATATTCTATTTAAAGTGTATTTATTATATGAACCTCCTAGGGACCTCCACAGGAGGTTGGCAGGAAACATGAGCTGATTTGAGGAACAGACACCATCCTCTCCACCACTCCTTTTTTAAAGGAACAGAGGATGTAATTTTGTGTACTAGTGAATTATAGGAGGAAGACAAACCAACTAAGCAACCAAAATCACTTAAACCTGTTTGTTTATCTATTTAATGCTAACAAAATTAATTAGTGTGGGTTAACCCTGATGGGCAGCTCAGCCCCACTCAGCCACTTGCTCACTCCCCGACAGTGGGATGAGGAGAGAATCAGAAAGGCAGAAGTGTGAGCTTTTGTGTTTTAATCACAAATCCAAAACACAGCACCATATGAGCTGCTGTGAAGAAAATTAACTCCATCCCAGTCAAAACCAGTACACTGCGATATCATTGTTGGCTTCAAATATATTAGTTTTTAGATGTGATTATTAGAAGAGGAGAGGGAAATCTATTACAGGAAGTGAAAAATAAAGAGGTTTGGTGGAGATGAGGAGAATGGTGAGGGTGTCCTGATGTAAACGTATCAGTGAAATTTTCCATACGTGAACTAAAATAACAAAGAGAGGTGAAGGGCACTTGCATGGTCTTTCAAATGAAACAGACTCTACAGTATTACTCATCAAGTCCTCATGGTATCCCCAAGATAGCTGGGTAGCTAGATGAACCTGTGTCTTTTGTTTCCTTTCCAGCCAAGCTAATACCCTTGTGCCAAAAACTGTAACAATTGTTACAAAAATAATTGTTTTCACAGGTCAGCTATAGCAGTATACGGTCATTTGATCCTGCAGTTCCAGTCGCAGGACCTCCACAAACTGTGTCAAAGCTGTGGAACAGCACACACCACATCTTCTCACATTTGCATCCTGGTACTACTTACCAGTTCTTTATACGTGCAAGCACTGTCAAAGGGTTTGGACCAGCAACCACAATCAATGTGACTACCAACATCTCAGGTAAAAACAAAAAACAACAGAAAAATGAAAAAAAAAAAAAAAAAGGAAATTATTGTGGGGGCCAGGGGAATATTTGGGTTTAGGATTTTTTTGAGAGACTTGAAAAATCATGAAAACCCCCCAAAAATCCTATCACGTTTTGAAACTATATTACTGAAAATGTTTTTGAGCATTTTTGCCTAACAGTAGTATAAGTTCAGGGATAAATCCTCACATGAGGTGGAAATTGCACACCTGTAGTTGTCAACTGTTTGATTTTGTGTAATCTTATACTTCCATCTAAAGATTTTGAAGTGCTGTATAAACCTTAACTAATTAAGTCTTACAACACTCCATGGGTCACTAAGTACTGTATTTATTTTGCAGATTAGTAAAGTCAGATGCAGAAAATAACTGACTTACTCAAGGTGACACCACTTAGCAGCACACAGATAAAACAGAATTAGGGTGGTTGGGAGGAAGTGTGAATTTCTTTTGCCAGATTCATATAGGTTTGCTTCCTCATGCCTTTATTCACTTCCTGTAGTGCACCAAGATTGACAGTATTCAATCTTGGTGCATCTTAATAATGCACTGCAAACTCTAGAAGAAAGTAAGGTCAAATGGCATGCTTTAGTATTATTTTCTTAAATTTCAGTATTATTCTCAAAAAATAAGATAGTAGCGTATGCAGTTGATAACAGAAGATAAGTCAATGCTGTATGCAGAGAGACTGTTGATTTTATGACATGGTGACTTCAGAGCTTGGCAGAGATCAAAGAAGTCAGTCACTTAGAAATGTAAACAGCACAGAGCAGGCTATTTTCCTTATAATTTACCATGATGAAAATTATATTGTCCTGTAAAGAGAAGTTAATAATGTATTGGAATGCACCTGACATTTCTATGGGAAACTACTCACATAGTCTCCTCACCCAGTTCCCAAAAACATGCACATAAATCAAAATGTGAGAAAATTCAAGACAGAACTCCTTGAATTATGTAGCAAGTGAAGTGCTGTAGTTGTTGTAGTTAACAGGAACAATTTGTTGAATTCTATCCCAGCACGTAAGCACTACCGGTCCTTATACCCCAGCCCCTTCAAAAAAACCTAACCAAACCACCAAAAAAACCCCCAAACAACATGTTCTGTTCTGTTTGTCTAGCTTTTAGGTTGTTTTGAAGTGTAGTATTTTACTCAGTTTGTTTAAAGGTCCTTGTGTTTCTTCACAACAAATTCCAGTTCATAAATTTTGAGGGATAATGGTGGTACAGTACTTGCATTCTTGTTTTCTAAACAATTTGTAGGAGGGGAAAAAAAAAAAAAGTAACTATGTAATATCTTGCTAGCATGTCTGTCCCCCAGACATTCCAGTATTTTGAGAAATAAGCACCCCAACATGTTCGGATTGTTTAGGACTACAGTGTGTTCAGGCTTCTTCAGATATGCCCTCTTTTTCCACCCAGAAATTTTGGGAATTTTGTCCAGCATCCAGTCTACCACACTTTCTAGACACAGTATGAATCTGTTAGTTGGTGAAATATGATATATACAAGGAAAGCTTAAGAACAGGCTGTGACATCCGTTGTAACTGAATTTCAGCATCCTTTTTTTTTTAATCTTGCTTTACCATTTTCTAGTTTCACTCTGCATAACTGATACTTGTTATGAAGCAACACATATTTCATGAAATACTAGCTTTTTTTTTTAATGAGGAGTGAAATTATTCCTTTTAACCAAGTTTACAAGTGGTTGCCATGATCCTAGTGAACATGGTGTAAACAGTAATTTATAAATTAACATTATTTCTAGAAAATAATATTTCCTGAAATAAGAGTGATTTTTGTGTTCATCTAGGATCTGGGACTAATGAAGCAAGGCTCTTAATCTTTCAGTGCTCTTTTATCTATCAATATATTATTGTAAAATTATTATGACTTAAATGGTTGACATCCTGCTAGGAAATATCTTTTATGTGAAAGTTCATTTTGAAATATACAGGCATCATTAACAATTTTCTAAAGTTACAGCCACACATTAAAAAAACCCCATGTAAATTGTTTTCAAGCCTGTTAAAGATTAGTAATTAAGAGAAATCTATTAATTTTTGAAACACAGGAAAGCCTGTTTCTTACCTTGCACTAGAGCTGAAGTTAGCAACAATATGACCAGTGAGGACTGTAACAGGTTTGGCAGCAGCAGGTTAAAGTTGAATGGTTGAAGTAATGACAAGCACCAGCCATCCAATCCAGGCCTGACAGCCAGTCCACTAGTGAATCAGTTCCTGAAGTGCTTCTAGTTTTGACTTTGATTTTGGTTTTTCTTAATACCTGTGGCTGAAAACTGCAGTGGTTCAGAAACGGATTAATGAGCCGCTTGGCCATCCATTGTCAGAAATTGAAGGAGAAATCATGTCATGGGAATAGATTCCCCCATCCAGTTCTAGTCCACACATGCATATCTGTCCAAGCCCAATTTTCATGCACTCTGGTTAGTATTGGTGTGGTTTCCCACGACATTTAAGAGTAAATGTGAAAGGTTCTTAAATTTTTGGAGGAGGAAAAAGAGAGATGGTAGAGGTTGAGTCTTCAAGATCTTTATAGTTGTTTGTAAGGTAAACAGAGCGAGGCCAAAATGGAATTTTGTACTCTCAAGTTTTCTTGGCAGTGACCACCTCCCTCTGTTTCTGTCCTTGAATAAACCTGTTTAACTTGATAGATATCAGGATTTGAGGGGGAGCAGTTAGGAATGGGGTTATCAGTTGTTGGTGAAATCACATTCATGCTCTAGTAAAATATTGTGCCTGATTGGAAAATCATTTAAAAAGCTGATGAAGGTTGTGGCTTTGTACTATATTGTGAACAGCCACAATCTCATGAAAATTCAAAATGTTTTCACTGATTTGTTTCTCATTCTTTTCCTTTCCACTCAACATTAATCAGCTCCCACTTTACCGGACTACGAAGGAGTCGATGCATCTCTCAATGAAACTGCTACTACAATAACTGTGCTCTTGAGACCAGCACAGGCCAAAGGTGCACCTATCAGGTAAAAAAAAAAAAAAAAAGATAATAATTTAAAAGAAAAAAATCAGTAAGTTATTTTTTAGTTGATTATATGCTGTCTTGCAACTCATAAAGCTGTTCATTTCCAGGTTGTATTAATTTGACATTACTGTTGTTTTTCTTAGCTAGACTGAGCTTGCCAATAGATCTGTAATAAAAATAAAAATAAAAAAAAAAAAAGATAGTCATGACCTGAATCATCCAGCTGTTTGATTTAGGGTCCCCAGGACCACCTCCTGTCCTTTATCATTTCATTTTACTTTGTCACAGTGTCTCTGAAATATGAGGTTGAAAGGTGTTTGTCAGAAAGTGGATTTGAAAATAACACTTCCTCTCCAGTGCTTCAAACCAGCTATTCTATAGCATATATGTATGATTGGAAAATTGGAAGCTCAGAGGAAATGGGAGAATAATAGTGATGAATACAAACTATTTGACCTTTTTCCTCTCAGAGGACTTCTTACTAGAAATCATGTAGCAAGCTATTAAATTTTATTTGGCATGTCCCATAATCGTATTAAAATGTTTCATTTATGTTAACTTTGAGAGGTCTTTCCCTTTCTGCTCTCCATTGAGAGTTAATTTAATTCTGTTTGCAAAGATTAGTCCACATCCTGCTCTTTACTTCTACTTGTAAGTGCAAAAAAATTGCGATATTATTTGATTCCATTTGTGTTTTACTGATGTGGCTGCATCAGCAGTATTCAGGGACAGGGTTGACTAATTGGGGTTAATTAGCTACTGAGCGTCAGAACCTTTTCATGCTCTTACCCTCATGACATTTTAGAGAAATACAGTCTAATGCTTTTCATTCTGTGTTACATAAAGTCAGTTATAGTGGCTCAGCTGATGTCGAGTAATATGCCCGAGCCCTAAAATTAGAGGAAAATTAACTGCTTCTTAAGTCTATTTCCATTAAGAGGTATGTTTGTTTTACATGGATGTTGTGGAGATGTCACGTACGTATAAGCATTTTTATATGCTTATCATATAGTCACCCTTGTGATTTATATGATCAAATTATTTATTTATATTCTGTCATAGAAGATAATACAGATCTGTCCTCTTTATAGGGGATACTGATGTGTTTTATTCATAAATAAAATTGTAACCACATACATTATTCGTTTCTGAAAGATTGCCCTGGAGCAAGTGTAAGATTTTTTTGGATGTGAAGAACGATAATGGCTTATGAAGGTGTCAAAAATGGTCTATGTTCGAAATGTCAATAGATAGTTTGATAGGGATAGTTTGACAGAGTATTAATAACTTGTTGTTTGAGTATGTTCTCTAAAAGCTTATGTCTTTCCTTCTGTCTCCTGTCTTCCTTGTCCACCCACTTCAATTAATTTCTAAAACCTAAGAGATTACATTAAATTTCTAACATCAAGGGACCAAGGAAATAAGTCCTTCACCATAACCAGAGAGCTAGGCTTTATTCTTAAAACAAAGCAGGTATTTTGTTCCTTACTTGGAATGAGGAGCATTCTCCAGGGGAATGCAGAAGACATGGTCCCATTCCCTTTCCAGAAGTTGTTCATATAGCAGTCAGATATTTTTCAGCAGCCTCTTAACAGGGGAAATAAATGTAGCACACTAGCATTCTGAATTGATTCAATGCTTTTCGCTAAACTTTATGATGCATTTTAGTGACGCTTCACTCCACCCACTCTGCAGTTGTGTTTCCACTACAAGCTGGCTTGCTGCCATAATGAGTGTTACGAGGTAGGTGGGAAAAAATGCATCGCCATGCCTGCAGCTGTGATTGAGTACAAGAGACTCAAATGCCGTTCTTTAGCCTGAAACAGAAGAATACTGTTGGCTTTTTGAAAAGGTTTGTTTGCACCCAGTCCTCTAATCCCAGGAGCTGTAGGTGGTCAAAAGATAATTTTATTTAATAGCAGTAGGTCTGTGTTTAAAAAAATAAATAATTTAGAAAATAAAATTAAAAAAAAATAGAAAAGGAGAAAAAAGCTTGGTCTGAGTCTCTTTTGCTTTTACAAATAAAATTATACTGCACTCAGATTTTGTTGTATCTCAACCTCTCCATCAGCACAGTCCCTCAGGAGACAGATGTTCCTTAACTCAAGTGAAATCTATGTGTGGCTGTCAGTCATTTCTTTAAGACAGTACATGCTGTAGTCGTCACAGTTTAAACATGACTCTAATCATATCTTCCCTGTCAAGTGTTATCGTGTAATCTCTAGTATTCTTTATGGCCTCCTGAAGTTTTAAAACAAATTACAAACTAGAAATGCAAAGGGTGACAGGGCTGGATGGCTCAGGCTTCCTGTGGAGTGTGAACTATTTCACCATCAGTCTTGTGGATAAGATTCCAGTCAGCAGCATCAATGGTGCTTCAGTGATTCATTTGAAGATGTGATTTGTCACTGTAGTTTCTCTGAAGGACCTAAGTGAGCACCAGCAAAACAATCTTTCGTTTTCAAATCCTACTGCAGATGAGGATTACGAAGCCCATATATCAGACTCAGCATAAACAACTTTTTAACAATGCAATTTATTTCATTTGATTGGTAAAGTGTTTTTCTTATACCTCCATATGCAAAATCAAGTTGAAGTATGAATATGTTCACCACCGCAGTACCTGTTTGAGAGCCTCAGTTTTTAGGGATGGGTGAAAAGGACGATCTGTTGGCAGGAGCCTCCTTAGGCTGTTTGTCATTGTCTTGGTCAATAAAGGGGCTCTGTGCCGGTTTTCTTAAGCAAAATAAAAAGTTTTTAGGCATCAAAAATAGTTTTCTCACACAAAATCTCAGCAGGGAAGCTCTTCTCCTGTTATATCTTCAACATTTTCTCTGCTTACCTGGCTTTCTCAGACAACCGTTTGGCCTTTACAATCCTGGCAGCTGATGCAGAAGCTTCTGAAATTTGTATTACCTTTCAGAATATCTCAGAATGTATTTTAGTCATTAGGGAGAAGGAATATCATCATCTAGGTTTTCCACCCCTCCCTCTTTATTTCTGTGTTTTATTTCTGATTTGCTGTATGGAAAGACTGGAGAGGGGAAAAAAATAAAAAGCTATTGTAGGAATTCCCTCAGCTCCAGTCACAAGAAAGCGCTCTCAATAATTGAATTCCCACGGTTACACAAAAAAATGTGCAGAAAACATAAGATAATTGAAGTTGGAATTAGTAATACTTAAAAATCCAATAACCAGAGTACATAACCTTTAAACTTTCACTTACAGCCTGATATCAGACCACCTTTGCAGTCAGTGAAGACCCTGCTTTTCAAGTTGCAAATTTAACATTGGCTTTTGTCTTCACATCTTACAGTGGAGTGTCCTTTCCAAACAGTTATGTGTCCGTTGAGTGACAGTGCTGCTTTGCAGCCACTGTAGTGTTAGTAAATGGGCTTAAACAGATGGTATCACAAAGGCCCCAGAGATAAATGACTGTATTCCTACATGTCTTGTTAGCCTATAATGTTGCATTAAAAATACTGCCAGATCCCCTTTTCAAAGAGGGTAGGCACATCTTTTATTTTAAAAATACTTTGTGAAAATTAAAAAAGAAAAAAAAGTCTCCTTGCTTGAGACTTTAAAGACTTTCTGCCATTGGGTATTCTTTCATTAACTGAAAGTAATTGTATGGATGCAGATGGCTACAGTGTGTGTATTTATTTATTATTTTCCACTTTTTGTCGTTTTTCAGATGTAGGGGCCCAAAAGGTATTATTTTTGGAAGTATATTTTATGTAAATTACTTTATTTGAAAATTTTTCGGAACCTTCACATTTTATTGTGATCTCATGCTTAAAATTTTGCCATGCCTTTTATATCACATTCAAAAGTTACCGTGTTTTTAAGGAATGCTATTAAAAGATACTTTCCTAATATTTAAGGAAGATGCTGTTCATCTTTGATTTTTGGTTTCCAAAGAGACTTGACCCTTAAAAAGGAGGTGTGCCTTAAAAAAAAGATACCTCATTTAGCCCTTATTGTATAAAATGGGAGGTGGGGGGAAGGGAGTTAACTTGGTGACTGTGGTGGATCTCTGCTTCTGAGCTGCGTGACAAATGGGGCTGTTCCAGGGGATGGTTGCCTTCGTCACATGCTGGCATTGCACTGTCCTTCCGCTCTCCCTGATGGCTTTATCCTCTGAAGTTGGCGCAGTGTCACAGATGGCAATTTCCTGCTCTCCTTGCACTCCAAAGAGCAGAATTTGTGTCGGTCCCAGTCCTTTGGCAGCTCACAAGAGAAGACTGTAGGATGGAAGGAGCAGAGAGTGGTGTCTGTCTTCCCAGTACTCTCCAGCTGGTTGGCTGCCCAGTTTGGGAGCGGCAGTTTTAACCCTGCCTGACTCCAGGGCCAGGGAGGGAGTGAACACCTGGAGTCACTTCCTCCCTTGGGACATTAGAAACAAAAATTATTTTAAAGATTTTACATCCTGGCATCTTTGTAAAATACCATCACCTTTAGGTTTTTTTCTCGTATATTAATTTTGAAGCATAAAGTAAGATTCTGGGTGCGCAGGGGTCTTGTAGAAGTGATTTGTTGGTGCAGGCTACATTACCTGGACATGATTAATACATAGAGTTTATTACCTTAGAGGTGATTTATAAACAGGTTCCATTCACAGTTTATGAGAAACAGGGATCCCTAGAACTAACTCATCATTTTTTGGTTTACATTCTTCTCTTACCTAGAATTCAAAAATGAGGTGACTTTTTATATTCCTCTTGGTCACTTTGAAAGGGAGGAGGCTTTCCTCCTTAATTTTATAGGTGCTATGAAAAGGATATGCTAATGAAGGAGACCTATGAGAAAGATGGGGACAAACTTTTTAGCAGGGCCTTTAGTGATAGGACAAGGGGTAATGGTTTTAAACTAAAGGAGGGTAGATTCAGACTAGGTGTAAGGAAGAAATTTTTTACAATGAGGGTGGTGAAGCACTGGAACAGGTTGCCCAGAGAGGTGCTAGAAGCCCCATCCCTGGAAACATTCAAGGTCAGGCTGGATGGGGCTCTGAGCAACCTGATCTAGTTGAGGATGTCCCTGCTCACTGCAGGGGGGTTGGACTAGATGGCTTTTAAAGGTCCCTTCCAAACCAAACCATTCTATGATTCTTCTTTCAGCTCAAGTAAGACGTGAAACTAATTTTTTGTTCTCTCCTTTCTTCCATTCCCCAGTATTACACTTCATCTCTGCCACTACAGTTATTGGGTTTTCTGAGCAATAGTAGCTGAGAAAATTGACAAAATAATTTAATGCTGCCCCATAAATTCTGAAATGAGGAGGATTGTCTTTGCTTTTGCCTTTTGGAGTCCCTGCAGCAATGCAGTGATGCTTCCATAACTCTGTTCAATTTTATTTTTTCTGTTTAGAAGGCTTTCAAACAAAACCAAGTCAAGCAGTTCTGCCATTTTAATTGAATAGCTTCAAGTCTTGTCTACATGCTTAGGCATATTTTCTTACTAATCTTTCACAAGGTTCTCAAATGTATCTGCATGTAAATGAGAAACTGTATGCACATACACATGTGTGTATATATGTGCATATGCATACATACAGTTCTTAAAATCCAAACCCCATTTTTTCTTTTATTTTTTTCTTAAAAACTGAAGAATTGCTTCCTGCTCTCAGTATGTAAGCTCACTACTTCTGCAGAGCAAGGGAAGCTGATAATGAGTTGGTAACATCTGCAGTTAGAGAAAGAATTACCTGTTCTATTTTGAGCAGGTGATTTTGAAAAGTGACCAAGCCATGGACGATTTCAAGAGAGGTATTGGGAGGTTGGGATGGTGTTTTAATAGGCCAAATGCCATCTGCTGCAGCAATTTGTAACATTTTATCATTGACAACTGTAGAGGAATGAGTTGGTCTATTTTGGTGGAACGGACAGATTTCTGTCCATCTGTGCTTGTATTGCAGCATGTCACTTGCATTTTAGATCTGCATAGCTCTGAGCCAAGACAGAAGCCACAGCAAGGTCAAGAGGTGGAGAAGCCTGTCAGCACGTTCTGTCTCTAATGATATGACAACTGCAAATTGGTGCTTCAAGCACAGCCTGGAGGCAGTCATTATGTTGGGCCTTGAAGCTCAACTTTTTCTAATATTGTTTCAAAGGAAAATGCTAACTTCAGATGCTTGCGATTAGCCAAGAGTTTAATCTATTGTAGTTCAAAGTTATATTCCTTCCTGTGTTTCTTCAAAAGAAAAAAGCCTAAAAAACCCCAAAATCATTGTTAGGATGTTGTGTATAGATTTGTATTGTTATTTTTCCTGAAAAAAATGGATGCTGCTTCTTTCCAATGGCTGAATGAGATAGTTTTGTTATATTTCAAGCTTTTGTTTTTTCTCTCCATCCATGCATCTGCTGTCTTTTCCTTTTTTCCTTTTTTTTTTCTTTTTGAGTTTACACAAAGCAATTTGGTTAATATTTTTATTAGACTAGAGATTTGACCCTAGCAGGTCACCTTAAAGATATGTTGGTCTTCTTCCATTTCACTAGTGCTTACCAGATCGTTGTTGAGGAGCTGCACCCACACCGAACAAAGCGAGAAACAGGTGCCATGGAGTGCTACCAAATCCCTGTTACCTATCAGACCGCTCTTAGTGGAGGGTCACCGTATTACTTTGCTGCTGAGCTGCCCCCAGGAAACCTGCCGGAGCCAGCCCCCTTTACCGTGGGTGACAACAGGACTTACCAGGGTTTCTGGAACCCGCCACTGGCTCCTCGGAAAGGCTACAACATCTATTTCCAGGCCATGAGCAGTGTTGAGAAGGTAAGTGCCAACCACCCCTTTTGCCTGGAAGGAGTCAGCTAGGTGACAACTAGGACTGTTGAAGTTGGGCGTAGTAGGTGTTGGCAGTGGCATGGCTGTAATCCCTTCTGTGCTGTGACAATGTGGCAGCATGCCATTCGGATTTCACACCGCCCTTGTGTCATGGTAACTGCTACTAGATGAGAGTTTAATACATCTTGTAGTAATCGTCTCAGCGAAGTAATTTCAGTGCTGTGACCGCCTCCTTGGTAAATAACATCCACAGTCCTTTCCCCAGTTCTCAGTACTTGTGCACTTCAGAAGATTAAATTGCTGCAGGATAAACAGAATGTGGGCTGCTCAGCAGGCTAATAAAATGTTACAAACTTTTTGAGACTCTCACACTGAACATCAAATAAAAAGTAAAGATTTCCTTGAACAATAGTAACCCCAGGCCCACGGTGTGGTTTTGGGAGCCTTTCTGAGAAGGTGTACTTGAAGCTTGCTCCACTGCTGTACGATAGTAAGAGTATGGCTGTCGCTCTCCTTCATTATCTCCTTGGTGTTTCATTTTTAACTCTGTCACTGATTATTGCTGCTGGCTTTCTGTGCATAAGGAAGGGGGAAGAGTGCCAGGGAGGGAGGTTCCAGGTGGGAAGAACAACTGTGGCCCTGCAAGCCACAGACTGTTGCTCTTCAATGTTTTTTCCCTCTCATAAATTAAAAATGGGGGAGGGGAAAATTATTAGTGAGAAGGGGAAATGTGGTAGACACAGAAGCTTCAGATATTTAAAAATTAATATTTTTTTATTTAGAATTTAGGAAACTGAAGGTATTATGTCTGTAGGAGTTTCCATAGGAAGTGTACAGGCAGGTCAGAAAGGAACTGCCCGATAGACATTAAGGTCGATAGCTGCTGAGACTCACTAGAGCTATCAGAAAGGAGCAGAGACCATGTCTACCCTCACATATGGGTGTCTGCGGTGACTAAACAAATCCTAGCTAACAGGCAACCTTGGCTTGGAGCCTTTTGAAGAAAATCTCACCTTCTACCTATGGCTATGGAAATTGCATATGCATCAAGTCAGGATGGGGGTGAAGCAGGAGCTAATGAAACTACTGGAGCTGCTCGAGAATTAGAGACTTTTTCTGATGGATGAGACTGTTCCCTCTTTCTAATTCTTATCTATAAACCTACATGAAGCAAGCAAAGCAAAACAAAAGGTAACTGCTAGTCACTCATTCATATTCCTTTCCCCTGCTACATATGTCCTCTTTGCTTTTGTTGGCTTCCAGCTGACTAAATTGTACGGAAATTGTTTCATTCCTCAAGGAATAAATGGGAGGGAAAAGCAAAACAAAAATATTAAATAGAAAAATAGATCTTTATTTTGGCTTTTATATTTTGGCAGGTAAGTAGAACAAATTATTTTTTTCTTTAACATTATTTCAGTTTGTGAGAGAGTTTAATCCTAAAAAGGTTTCCTATGGTATGATTTAAAACTTTGGATCAGATTTCTGTTCCTAGAGGGATTTTGGGGCAGAGGTTTTGGGGGAACTGCACTGCATTCTACCAGGACAGAGATCTAGTGGTTGTAAGATAACCTCTGAGCTGCAGAATATTTAAACAGGTGGTTTACTATACACCAGTAGGCTCACCAAAATAGTCAAAGGGAAGTAAAGTATGCTCTGAAATACACTGTAGGGTTGGGGTGAGGGTTACTCTGTAATCCTCACAGACACTGAACGGAAGTGGACAAGTAAATCCAGTAACTGGGGAAAATTCTGATTAGGTAAGATTGTATCAGTAGACTTTGCAGGACTTTCATTTAGATTGAAAAATTGTCTTTATGGCTTTATGGAACAGGTGTGGGAAGCCTCAACTCATAGCTTTGCTTGTTCTTTACAAGCTGTATTTACAAAACAGTGTCAACATATTTTACCTGTTGCTCAGGAATCTTCAAGAGGAAGAAAGAGATCCCAGGAGATGCATTTGTAAATGGAGTGCTGAGGGACTAGAGGGACCATATTTTATAGAGTGAAACTGTGTCATTATTATATTTTCTAATTACATGCTTATATAGTTTAGAGTGATCTAATACAGCAGCAGCTGCATCCTCTCATGCAACCTTATACTATTTCAGTATGTTTGCCTTTAAAATAACTGCATATTGTACATAAAATTCAGAAAACCCATTTATGACTAACCCTCATCTGTTCAAGTTGTCCAAACTGTGCATCACCAAGTCATTTCTCTGTTCGTTTGCTTCAATTGCTGACCAAACTTCTGAAAGGGAGCAGGGGAAGCAAAAACAGAAAAATTATCTTTGCATGTGCAACTTCTGAAGCACATCACTGTCAAATCACTGTCTTTCCTGGGCAGATTACACAGGTTGTAGATTAACTGTGTCATATGTGAAGGGATAGCTGGGCTATGCTAATTCCATGCTCAGAAGCATGAGGGAGCACGTTGCTGACATGCTTCAGGTGACTGAGCCAGCAATGTGCGCTCACAGCCCAAAAGGCCAACCGTGTCCTGGGCTGCAAGAGAAGCGTGGCCAGCAGGTCGAGGGAGGTGATTCTGCCCCTCCACTCCACTCTAGTGAGACCCCACCTGGAGTACTGTGTCCAGTTCTGGGGACCCCAACATAAGAAGGACATGGACCTGTTGGAGTGAGTCCAGAGGAGGACCACAAGGATGATCTGAGGGCTGGAGCACCTTTCCTATGAGGACAGGCTGAGAGAGTTGGGGCTGTTCAGCCTGGAAAAGAAAAGGTTCCGGGGAGACCTTATAGCAGTTTTCCAATACCTGAAGGTGCCTACAGGAAGGCTGGGAGGGACTTTTTACAAGGGCAGGTAGGGATAGAACAAGGGGAAATGGCTCTAAACTGGAAGAGGGTAGTTTTAGATTAGATCTTAGGAAGAAATTCTTTACTGTGAAAGTGATGAGACACTGGAACATTCCAACACAAACCATTCTATGATTCTGTGATTTTATGATGACTTTATTCAAGACCATCAGAATGCAGCAAGACAAGTTAGTTTAGACACAGTGCTGAACAAATGTACCTTCTTGGCTGCATGGTGCTGTTGGGAGGTCAGTTCTGGCTCAGGATTTCTGTGCCATGAAGTAAACAAGAGCACCAGTCCTCCTCTTTTCTTCCACTGCACCCTCTCTCTGAATTCTTATGGCATCATTTCAATTTGATTCGAATAATCTGAAATGTGACTACATCTGGGCTGTCCTGCACCTTTTCTCCCCATCGTTATCCTGGATGGTACAGATCAATGTCTAGATTTCCTGCTTTTGTGAAGGCAAAATCACCCAGTCTCTTCTCTGCTAAGCCCAGAGCCCTGCACCACCTTGTTGGGTTGCCCCAGCTGATCAGCAGATCTAGGGTGAACCTATGGAATGGGAAGGGCAAGAAAAACCAACCTGGTCTAACTGTTTTCTTTGCTTTTCCCTCCTCAACAGGAAACCAAAACTCAGTGTGTTCGAATAGCTACAAAAGGTAAGAGATTCGTCCCTCTAAGCAAAGTAGCTTTTTTTAATTATATGTGGAGTTTCTGTTAAATGTTTGAATCAAAGCTGGTACTGTCCATCTATTTTGAACCACTTGATTGTCTTAAAATGTAATGGGCTACTGCTTTTTATTCTCTGGTATTGGACTAGGAGAGTACTGTTCTAGCAATACTCAGAATTTAGACAAAGTTCTCCTTTGTTTTCCTTGTCTGTGGTTTTCAAGATCTGCTCTTAGGCAGCTGGAACATTGCAGGCAGCAGATAGATGGACTGGAGACTAGAAAGCACACTTGGGAAACTGTCTATTATGCTAGCAGTTATTTCCAAGCAGGAGTGGAAATAATTGAAAGGACACGATAGTTAATTTTCCTAAGAGCTTGGAGTGTTAGCTAGACATAGGGGAGGGTTGATTTGAGGAAGGCTCATGTCTGATAGCAAGTGAGGCCCTGGGCTAAGACTGGCTGCATAGCTGTGAGAATAAATCACATTGACCCCACATACAGTGGGTTAATCACATACTGCTCGCTCAAAAATGCTGTTTCATCTTGAAATGAGGACTTAGTTGTTCTGCTTATTGTTATCTCTTGCTTTGACTGTATTTATAGCCATTCATTTTGGCTGCTTGATTATGTCAACATGAGAGTTGTTTGATAGACTCCGGCAGCATAAACAAGAAAGGAGCTTACAAATGCTGAAAGACTACTCTGCAGAGGCCCAGCACTACTTACATTGTCTCTTTCTAATTGCATATTGATATTCAGCATAACAACGACTTCAGATAGGAGCAAGCAGGCATTTAAAGTACTGTGGTGGCACATCAGCACCATTTTTTCAGTTGCTTCTTTCTGTTTAAAACTTGTTCCAATTAAAAGCAGATACCTCTAATGAGATGGTAGCAACAAAGCGTTTTCTTGAGAAACCAAAAAATAAAATGTACTTCTCAAGATGTGTTAATATTTTCATCAAGTGAAGTAAGCTAATAAACACAGGAAATTAAAACCGTGAGCTAAGTCTTCTGTGAAAAGTACATCAGCATTATCTTTCTTATGTTTACCTGGCAAGATTAAATGTTTGAATTAAAATATATTTGCATAAACAAATATTTATATACCACAAGCATGTATTGCTAGGATTTGAGTCAAGGGAGAGTCTTGAAAGGCTCAGAAATATCCTAAAATACTGCAGAAATATGGAATGAAGAAGAGGAAAGCAGTGGTCTCTTTCATCATAAATTTTCTTGATAGTAATAACAAACTGGGGGAGGAGTTCACCTGGCTTATGAGGAAAATATTTTTTACTTAACTTTATTCAGTCCACTGATGTCAAAAGAATGTTCACGGGAGCAATAGTCCTGGTGGTTGCTTGTATGGCTTCCTTGGCCACAACAGTCACCTGCACCCCAAAGGCCGTAGTCTGAAGGAAAGGGGAAATGAGTAGCACATGTCTTACCATCATGCTATAAATCTTGCCTTTGCCGCTCTGGCTAAAGACATGTTTTTGTGAAGTAATTGCATTGCCTGATATGTCAGTACTATTCTCCTTGGATGTGGAACTGAAAACCAAAATGTTTTCTCTGACTTTGTTTTAATTGATAGATGTGAAATGTGAGGGGAGGCAACATTAGGAGCAAATGCTGTCTCTTGCTCTGAAGGAATGCATTTGATAGGGAATCATCGCTTCAAAGTCACGTACATTCATACTTCTCGAATGAGTTATACTGTTATTCTAAATCATACTTTAAAAGCTAGTACTCAATTTTTTTCCCATGTTTTCATCATTAAAATAATACCACAGTTCATTGTACTTAAATAAACATAGACTGAATATATTTGTTTATATATATCTTCATCTAGTTATGCTGATTTTTTCATAGTGTGTGTAAGTTTGATTTGAATCATTGACCTAGGAAACATCTGGATACATTTGTAATATATTCACAGAGAAAGAGGACTGTCTTGCCTTACCTAGCACACCTCAGTAAACCTAATATACCCTTTTAAAATCCAGCAAATTGTCTAAACTATGTAGTCAGTTACAAAAGTAGTGTGCAGTTCTATGTCACCTCGTGTGACTTGAAACAGCCTATAGCCGGCCAAACTGAACTTTGCCTTGAACGTGTTGAAAAGGCTTTAAAAATCGTTAAGAGCTGGGTGGAAGCAGGGGGAGAGAAATGACATTAAAGGTGCATGTAAAGGCAAAACAAAATTTCCCTGGTAGTGAAGTGCAGTACCAGCAAAGGTACCTTCTCATTTTTAGCTCGTTCAAAGGTCTGATATTATCTGCTGTGTATATTCACACCGATAAGATGTAAAGATGGAAAAAAAAAATATGGTAGTAATGTCATGGTTTGGTGCTGGAGTAGTTCCTATCCCTGATGTCCCTGAAATCATAATCTTGATAATTTAACTTTCCTAAATGTGTAAATATGTTCTTTCCCTGACTTTTTTCTTTTTTTTCTTTTTTTTCTTTTTTTTTTCACTTGGGCAGTTCCCCATTAACATAATTTACATGTATTTTAATGCATAAGGGGTTTTGCACTTATCATTCCCATGGGCTGCCTTCTGCCTTTGAGAACTGATGGAATAGTTTGTTTATTGGTGTTAAAGTAATGAAAGTCGGCAAATTTAAATAGAAGCGCTCATACTGCTCATACCTTTTCAGTCCGTATATTCCAGGTATAATGTTCTCATGTGCTTCTGATGTCAACATGCACTGAAGTGTGAATTCAACTAAATGGTGCCAAATCACAACTAAAGTATGTTGTTGCTTTTGGTGTATCTTGAAAAAAATTTTTTAGAGTAATCTGAGAGGCTTACTAGTGTCTGGTGTATTAAAATACACTCAGTTAATTTTTCATGGAAGAGAATATTGGAACAGCACCAGATTAAAAAGTAGTCTCCTGAGCAGTTCCTCTGTACTAGCAGCTGAAGGATGAATGCCAGAATGATTCTTTGATGGTGCTGATTTAGGGTAATAATAGGATTCTCCCTTTATCTGGACGCCTTCCACAAAGCTTGTAAGAATTTAATGACTTGATGACTTTTGTGCTTCTGCAGGTTGGACTGAACTGGCCAAGAGAGTCACAAATTACTAGGTGGGGCAAGAGGGTATGAAAGTTGCACACGTGTACACAGTCTGTTCACATAAGCTTTGATTCTTGAGGAAACCAGGCTAAAAATAACTCCTTGTGACACATGTGGTGGGTAGGACATACCTAAAGCACCATTTCCAAGTATAGCCCAGAAAATGTATGACCATGAACTATTTTAATTCCTTGGATGCTTTTAGCCAATATTACCTTCCTCTGTCAACCTGAATTCCCTTCCCATTCAGATCCTTTTAGTAACCGGTGATCAGCATAATTTTATTTTAAAAAACCCAACAGTTCTTTGTTCTCCGCCTCATTATTTTCTGAATCTAGGTAGTAGCATTACCCAGTCACTAATAATTTGGTTTGCCACAGATAGTAACAGAGGAAGGAGAAAAAAAATAATCTTGTTTTCTAAAGTGCAGAGACTGAGGTAATAGGTCAGATAGATATTCATTAGGAACAGAAAGATGGAATTATGCTAGGAAATGTGCATTATTTGACAAAGAAGTGTTACATATAATTTCCTAAAAAAAGTTCTCAAACTTCCTAAAACTAATTTGGTAAGGCAGAGTTCAACCAGTCCATAACCTGCTTATATCATACTTATTATCATAGAATCATAGAATGGTAAATGAACTTGCCTAACCAAAGTATTGCTAGAGGAGTGAATAAAAGATGTGTGATTCCCATAGCATGCACTTTAGAGTAACACATGATGTTGATGACTGATCAGTCACATCTTAGAGCTGAATTTGACTGTAAAACTTTGAATGGGTTGCCACTCACACACGACATTGGCATTTCATTTTACCATCTAAAATGTTATTGACTGCTGAGGGAATAAAACCAGATTAACATGGTCAAAGAAGAGTGATGCTTCAAATTATTTAGCATGTAAATAGACATTTAAGAGGACAGAAGGGACAGCAGAGCTGTTATTAAGCAGAGAGTATATGAAGTTGACATTTCTGACAGTTTTTAGGCTGCCAAGTTTGAGGCAAACAGATTTGCATGTATTCTTCAGTTTTGTTTAGGAGGCTAGAGAAAAATATTGAAAATTTAATTAGAAGAGATACACTGTGGTAGTAAATAAAGAAGTGTTGGGCCTAGCAGCTTTATCCCAAAGTAGTTAGAAGGAAAAAATGAAGTCCAAGGTTCCTCACGACACATTTAAAACATGAACTTCATCACCTCCAAAATTATTTTCCCTTGTGGTTTTCCTTTATATTATTAGTTCAGGCAGTGTAGAAGTTCTATATCTCTGTGCATGTTTGGTTCATACAGATGGATGAAAATGCCATTTGAGATTATGCGCATCTGGAAGTAATTGTGAAATAGCAGAAAATGACTTTTTAATCTGATTTGAGGAATAAAAAGGTCTGGGTGGTAACATTTCAACTGCAAGGGTGCATTTAGTCCACCATCATTATTGCTCTGAATTCATTCCCACAGCAGTTGGGGATTGATCCAAAGGCCTTTGATGTCAATGGGAGTCTTTCCACTGACATTAATGTGCTTTGGATTAGGTCTTTAGAAGTCATAAATCTGTCTAGACCATAATTATTTCCTTGAAATTGTTCCTGATGATGTTTCTGCTCTTAGGGAAATTTGTGAAAGTCAAATCACCTCCTGTAGCAGGATGCTCAGATATGTCTGTTACTGATTAATGCACAAATGAGGGAAGATGTCAGATGCTAAATGTATATGAAACAAAGCTGCTCTCGCTGTTGTTTTTATGTTTGGATCAATGCTCCTACAATGACTTTCAGCTGTAATAGACACTGGAGACCTAAGTGGCTATATAAATTTAGAGAAGAATGCAGATGTTGCCGAAGTAACATCTTTCTTTTCACTCATTCGTAGGAAAAAACTATTAATATGTTTAAACTTCAATGGTCT